CCCCCCCCCCCCCGTTTTGCTAGGTTTTATGTGTGGTCAGAAAGTAATACTCTGGAATTATAATTTGAAATTTTTGGTAAGAATGAATGTGGAGTTAAACAATTCTTTTTTTTACAGTAGGTTTACAATTCTTACGTTAAAGTCTGTAAATTGTCTTTTATTTTTTCATGAACAGAAAGTTGTTAAATTGAGGTAGGAAAATGCATTGATGTATGAGTTGTGGGTGCAATCTAGCTTGTATGCATTTAATTCTGGAGTCCCTTGAATAAATGGTGCATAAATGTTAAAAAGTAAAAAATAAATAAAAAATATGCAGTTAACTTACATTTAACAGATATCAAGCTGGAGATTAAAGGTACAGGGCACCACTGCAATATTCATATGTTAAAGCATTATTGACAAATACAATATGTTTATAATGATTTATAACCATTTTTATTTGCAGCTTTTTCCCCAGTACTATAGCATTTATTCCAGTATTTTTTCAACATTTCCCTGTAGCCATATGGGTTAGATGCATACTTTATAAAAAGTAAACTTTCAGCAGTGATCAGAGACTGTGAAATATATAGTTTTATAGTTATAAAAGTGAGCCATAACTAAAATAAAGTTGAAATCATTGCATTTTGTTAAATCATCTTAGCATTATGTTTCTGTTATATTGAGAACTTTCAGTGTTAAAGAATTTTATTTAGCAAGTATTGTTCAGTGCAATGCCCCTCTGAAGTCTTGAAGTTTTATATTATCCATTGCAGTATTTCTGCTGCTGCCTTTAAGGCATGATATTAATGATATTTAACATATAAGTTTTGGAAAAATATATTTTAAGAGGTAAGACTTTCCTCATGTCTTAAATACTGCAGTTTATATTAACATATGTTATAGCCAGAGTTTTTATTTTGGTTGGAATTTTTCAGGGTCTTTGTTAACATAAGGATTATTCTTTTTAATAAGCCAACATTTGAAACTAGGGTTTATAATTAGTGTATGAATCTTGACTTGTCAAAATAATGGTAAGCTGGAATTCAGATGAAGTCATAATGTTAATGTTAATCTTTCCCATCCTTTTCAATTTCTGGTAAATTTAACTGTTCCTCTTCGCAGGAGAAACAAATTGGAGTGATTAGGCAATGGTGCAGCAACAAACCTGCTCATAAATTATATACCAGGAGTCCGAAAACTTTATTTTAGTGTTTTATGGTCATTGGCATATCTTAAAAATCTTAAAAAGAACCTTGTTCTTTGTCTGTTATTTTTATGAATGAAATTAAAGCAGTGGCTATGAATTTGCACAATTAGTTTATTATTCTTCAAACAGTGTACATGGAAAAATCAACTGAAACCCTGGAAAAAGGGAACTATCACAATACAGTAGAGAAGTCACTTCCATTACCTTCTCAAATGACATATGTTTGTGTATGTTATTTCTCTTTCTCATTTCTTTTTTACTACATCTTCACTTTGTTGAATCTAATAGGTGCTTCACTGTTTGGCCTGGAATCTTTTGTTAGCTAGCGGAAAGTTTACATTATACATAGAATTGTTGCAACTTTTTACATCTTTCTCTGAACTCATATTTTTAAAGGGAAAAAAACGTAACCTTTCAAAGGCAAGAAGTTACTCCAGAAAAAGAACACTTTTTTTGTAGCGATCCAGGCTTAAGCATTTTGGAGGGGTGCTTCACAAAGGACTACTTGAAACTTTGTGATGGCTACTTCACTGTGGAATTTGGTGTGACCTGCCCCGCTCTTCTGAGTATGGATGTGAATGCAGGGAAGACATTTATGCCCGCTAACCTGGCAGGAATGCCTTCTCTCTGTGTGCATCCACTTGACAGAAAGTCAGCGAGAGCCTCAGAAAAACCACACTGAGCTTTCAAAAGACAGAGAAGCGTTTGAAAGGACTCCCTTCTCTGTGCTGGTAGCATAAACCATCCCTTCTGTCAGCAGTTATTGGCACATTTTGGAGGAACTGTCCCGAAGGCAATGCTGCTCCTAGCCCACTTGTGAGTTAGCCCTCCTATTAAAATAACGGGTGTATCATCTGTGTGTAAATCTACCAGTTCAGCATTTCCCTACAATTTCAGCATGCAAGCTATTTGTGTTCTTAATGTTGTCTGTCTGTGATCTGCTAGGGAGGAGGAAAGATCCATTGTCCTCTATGTGATGGCCTTTGCAAATTCAGATACGTAGATTACACGGGCCAAATGAGTTGAATTTTATTAGGGTTTTTTTTAATTCATTAAAAAACACCAGCAACACTGAGTTCAGTCATATACGTTTAATTTTGCAATGGTTAACAGTAGCAGTACTGATAAATCTTTCTAAAAAGTTAAGTGATTAGCTTTTTTATTTCTATTTAGTTCTGTTTTCAGTAGCTCCAGCATTGTTCTGACCAGTTCACAGACTTCTGAAATACAAGTTCATCAGTGACACCAAAAACTGCAGCAGTTTTAGCAGGTATCATTAAATGACATCTAGCACAGGCAATATGGGCACACACAAAGCAAAGCACTGTTGTATTCATGTATTGTTTGTGTATATAAAAGCAAGAAATTATATATGATTTTTTGCTTGCTTCCCTGAAAGAACTAACACCTAGAAAGGGGCTCAGCTTTTAGCTGACTATTGCATGGAAGTGCAGCCTTGCAAAACAACTCTTTTCCAGCTTCCAGCAAAGTCAATTATACTCAATTTGCTTAAGATAAATCATACAGGCCCTGTGGTACTGTTAATAGTGCTAAAAGGAAGCTCTAAGGTTGATGGTGAGCATAGAAGAAAGTCTAAAACAATGTCAAAAAAAGAGCAGACCCTGTAAATGCTTCCTTTCTCCAGTCTCAACATACTCTTACTCCCCCACCCCACCCCACCCCAAGCAGTTTACTTCAGTACCTTCAGCTTTATTTCTGGATCATTCCGAAACAAGAGACAGTATTTGAAATTGATTAACATACTTTGATTAAGAAAGAACTGTAAATATCCCTGTCCATAATTAAAATTAGCTTGACATAAACCTAACTGATTAAGGGGAGGGGAAGGATTTCCCCGCAAGAAAGGAGTGTTGAAGGGATTGAGTAAATAATTGCTTTCTGACCCCCTAATGAAAATAGACCTGTCCAAGGGCTTCTAATGCAGTTCGCTCACAGTTTCACTGTTCTACGTCATCTTGTAGAGTACCGTATTTTGGAAAGGAAGCTATATCTGTGTGAATAAATACTAATACTTTATTTGAAATTTTGAAGGTCTTTCAAAGATCAAACCAAGATGAATTTCCTTTTTATAAAAAAATGATAACGGGGTGTCTCACTTCTCATATCATATGTTCTAAAATGAAAAAAACCATAAAAATGCAAAATACCCACGCCTTATTTAATTGCTTAATCAGACATTATGATATTAAAGATATATTTCAACAGTGCACTTGCTGATTCCTTCTGGTGGTGAAATTAATTATTTTGATTTACTAAAATAATAAATTAACAAGTTACAATGAATACATGTATACCATGCGCAATCTTCAGAAACTAAACAAGTACAGAGCGATTGGTGTGCATGCCAGCTTCTAATGCAGTCATGTTGGTATTTGCATAAATGAGCTAAGATTCTTGGACAATATTGTTTTGCTTCACATTCTACTTCAAACTTAACTGCAGTTCTTATTTATTTATTTTTTTAGTGGATGATGTTGGGGAAAAATTAGACCATATTGGAAACACTCCTCTAAAAATCAGCACTGAGGTTTCACATGGTGACGTATCTAAAGATGATGGGTTTGGTTCTGAAGTTATTAAAGTTTACATATTTAAAGCCGAAGCTGAGGATGATGTTGAAATAGGTATGTATCTTAAACTTACATTCGTGAATCAGTCCATAAATGTTAAATAAAATCTGTCTGCCAACCTTTATAAAGTAAATCTTTCTTTATAATTATTCCAGTTAAATTAAAGCTTCCGTCAAGGCAATTTAAAGTAAATGGACTCTAAATCAAACCAAAGCATAGCAGTTGTGCCCATCGGTCTCAGACTATATGAAATGTCCTATTCTCCCCACCCCACCTTCCCCAGCATCTCATGCACTTCTCTAGAGCCTTAACTCTTTCCAAGGCTTGTAAGGCTATCTTTAATTTGTCATACTACTTATAGATTGAGATTATCTTGGTATGTTATCTACCCGACCTAAAAAATGTGTTGATTGCTGTTATACCCCAAACACAGAAGTAAAATAGTAACATTTTACTCTTTCTATTAAAAGTCTATCAAGTGAAAAGTATTTCTTCCATTCAAGGTGGAACAGAGATTGTAACAGAGAGTGACTTTCACAATGGACACTCTGTAACTGGAGTTCTAGAGCAAGGCAGCGTTGGCAGAGTCCAGCGCGAGAAAATGGTTTATATGGCTGTTAAGGATTCCTCCCAAGAGGATGAAGATATTAGTAAGGACAAACTTTTTTTTATATTATTAAGCAAATAATTTTGTGATTTCTCTAAGAATCGTAAACTCGGTTGGATTTTATCTCTGAATTATTAAATGATTGTTCTAAGTTTCAGAAGATAGAAATTAACAAGCTTCCTCCTCTCTCCCACCTCTGTAATTACTCAAGTCACACATTTTGCATGTAGAAAGAGTCATGTGCTCTTCTCTTCAAACTTTAATCCAAGCAACTGCAAAAACCATTTTGACAAAGCTGTGGTCTAGTATTATGTTGCCTCATCATTGACTTTGGTCTGCTTTGCACATCTGAATAGCAGAAAATAATGTGTTTCTTGAATTTGTATGGAAATGTTGGCAATCCCAGATGCATTTTGTGAAATGTCTGAAAACAAGTATGTAGTTCCCTGTGTACCATTGTTAATACTTTTATGAATGCTTCATCAGTTGCTGGTATTCAAAAATTTTTAAATTTTGCTTTTCTAATTTACCTAAAGCTGTGTTAATGTCTAAATGTCAGTAGTTACTGACTTAATAGTTATTCTGGATTGCATAAAATTTTACTTGCCTATTCAGTATTTAAAATATGTTGAGACCAGTGAGAATCAAGATAACATAAAACAATCACCAAGATACCTAAAAGCATTGTCTCTGTACTTTCATTTCCTTTTTAAAAAATTATCACCCATTTTTAAAATTAAATATCTAAGCCTAATGACTGTTTCTGTTTCAGATTTTACTTTAGCCATGTACTTACTAGATAGATAAGCTAATCAACAGCCAAATTTATTGACTTACATTACAATATTGTAAAGCGTAGATTAGATAATATATAGGAACGGATTTGAACATTCTAAGTGCTATATAAATAACTGTATTTTTAAAACTGTGTAATTTAACTATATTATAGGATTGTGAGTTAATTTAAAAAATCACTTTATTAAAGTGCTTTTCTACTTAAAAATTACACTTAGTTTCTCCTCAATATAAAACCAGTTTTATAATTTTAAGCAGATTTGTTTAAAAGCATTTTTTGGTTCTTTTTTTTTTCTTTTTTTCTTTTTTTTTTTAGCAAATATGCATAGAACAGAAGCCTTAATACAGTAATAGAGTAGAGGAGAATTTGATTCAGAACAATTTTGTATTGTGGCTTATTGCATACAGATCTAGATAGTAGGTTTAGTAGATAATTGAGCAAGGATGAATTAGTTGCATAAATAGAATCATTAATTTAGCCTCCTTTAAAATCAAATCTAGGCTGTGCTGAAATAGCAGATGAAGTTTACATGGAGGTAATTGTTGGTGAAGAGGAAGCAACATCACTTCCTGATGCACAGCTTGAAGACTCTGGTGTGAATAAAACTTTTGTTCCAGTTGCATGGGCTGCTGCTTATGGTAGGACGCTAGATTCTTTTTATGATAGTCCCTTCTCCTCACTCGAGTTCCTACCTCTGTAGCCTTGCTCATCTCATAGAGTTTGCTCATCTCTTTCTGCCTAAAGTCAAGTCTCCTTCAAGCCAAACTTGACTCTTGGTGACTGAGAGAAGATTTCTGAAATGATATCTTCCAGTTCACTACTTGGTATTAGAACTGGACACTACTTTTGCTTCAACTACGCATATTATAACGCATACAAAATATAACTTCAGACAGTGATTTATTTCCCAATTTCTTTTGATTCCTTGGACTTCCTCTTTTCTCTTTTCATATAAAATAATAAAAGCAACTGACCTTATCTGCTGTAATTACAAGATCATATAAATAAAGAGGAATGCAGAATATTGCCTATTAAATAACCAGCTCTTCAGTCTTCCCTGCCACAACAACATGCTAATGTAGTGTTTCTCAACCTTGATAACTTTAAGATGTGTGGACGTCAGCTCCCAGAATTCCCCATGCTGGCTGGGGAATTCTGGGAGTTGATGTCCACACATCTTAAAGTTGCCAAGGTTGAGAAACACTGTGCTAATGGATTGAGCAGGATAGGCCGTGTCTTTTTAAAATTTCTTTTTGCTTCCTTTAGTCCTTTTGTAACTGCTTTAATCTGTATATGCCTTTGCTCAATCAACCTTATAAAGGACTGAAATGAAAAGAGGAGGAAGACTTGCTTAAGAAACAAGGAATGGATACATCTGTGGTTTATGAGCAACATCATTCAGAGCATATTTTAATTAAGACGTCTAGTTAAAAACAATCTCAGCTGACACTGCTGGAGAAAAAATATTGTCAGATACCCTGGAAGCTCTGTCAGAATAGGTGATACTGGCTAGGTGGACCAGTGAACTGGTGGGGGGGGGGGGGTACACACACACAAAACACACAACAACAAAAATTTTTTGAAGGAGAAA